GTCATAAGGACAGATTGCAGAGAGAGAGAGAGAGAGAGAGAGAGAGAGAGAGAGAGAGAGAGAATAAATTCCTCTATAGCCTGGTGGCTAGAATACTCACCCCGGATGCAGAAGACAAAGTATACAGTAACCCTGCACTGCCTCTTTTATGATTTATCCACAGAGGAACAGCTTCAAGAGGAGAGACTGAGGGGGCCCTACATCATACTATCCCTTAGTCAGTGCTGAGTAGGGCATTTGTGAATACCAGTAGGACCTGATTCTGGGACTTTGGCACGTAACTGCCACTTTAGACGCCTTATTCCTTTTGTGTATCCAGCCTATTTTGTCTATTTAAAACACACAAATGCCATCTGCCATCTCTCTTTCTCTAAATTCAATCTACACATTTTACAGAATTGAATAGGACTCTCTTTACGTTCATCTTATGGAACAGATGATCTCCACATACCCTTTCCGTTTATTTTTATGATAAATGTTAATTTCATTTTTTTCTGGTCTTCCAGGTCACAGATTTTCTGAATAAATGACGATGAAAAATCAAACCACGGTGACCGAATTTATCCTCCTGGGACTTTCCAGTGACCCACAGATGCAGATTTTCCTCTTCTTGGTGTTCTTAGTTATTTACCTAATCACTCTGGGTGGTAACATAGTGATCATGGTGGTGATAAGAGCTGATTCTCACCTTCATACCCCTATGTACTTCTTCCTCTTCCATTTATCTTTTGTTGATATCTGCTATTCCTCAGTCACGGTGCCTAATATGCTGATGAACTTCCTAGCAGAGCGCAAAACTATTTCTGTCAATGGCTGCATTGCCCAGATGTTCCTTTTTATCCTCTTGGCTGGTGCTGAAATTTTCATTCTCTCAGCCATGGCTTATGACCGCTATGCTGCCATCTGTGACCCATTGCGTTACGTGGAGACAATGAGGAAAGGGATCTGTGTTCAGCTGGTTAGTGGTGCGTGGACAATGGGCTTCTTCTATGCCCTTCTTAATACAATTTTTGCCCTCAAGTTGCATTTCTGTGGGCCCAATCAAATCAGCCATTTCAGCTGTGAGCTCCCTCCTCTGTTACAACTGTCCTGCACCGACACCCTCACCAATCAAGTGGTGCTACTTATTTCTGCTTTGGTATTTGGTTTGAGCTCCTTCCTCCTCACGCTAATCTCCTACATTCACATCATCTCCACCATCCTGAGGATACGCTCT